TATATATATATATATATATATAAAGCACGCCAACGTGATTCAGAACTTCATGTATAAGTTTGCCTAATTTTCCCTAACGTACTGTATGTTAAGAAATTATTGCGCTTGGACATTCGCGATTTTGGGCATTTGTGTCACGTTGACGAAAAATCTACACTTTATTCTTACTTTCATTCTCTTATCACTCTTCTTTTTATTCTTTTCTTCTAACATCTTCATGTATATCTCAATTTTTTCTTGTTTCATGATTGAGGATATGATATAATCCTCTTGCTAAAAAAAAAGCGATGATTTGGATATATGGACTAATAAGTTAACACTGATGACTTTGGATATGCCGTAGAGAACAGCTGAATACAAGACGTTTTAATATTTCTTTTTCACGCATTTACAAGTGGAAACAACCTTTCGAAGAAGATTAAGTAAATTGATCACAATTAACTTGTAACAATGCACCACCATTAACACGACCGACCACCCGTCGGGCCGTAACAGACGCTTAGCGTCGCGTAAATATAACATGTTTCGATTAAAACACTAGTCAGAATGTAGCGCCAGCAACATCGGCCACAAGACCACCACACGTGCGCCGTTGTTGTTATTCCATTAGCGTAGCAATGGCACGTTAACCGCCGCGAGAATCTAATATAATTGCATTGTATGCCGCCACGCTTCGACACAGAGAGCGATCCGAGCTTCCGGACGAGCAAGCTAAGAAGCGACCGATCCTCTATCATCCGAGCGACCATCCGGACCGACCACCTTTTAGCCGCCTCCGTCAGATCGCTGTCGATCATCCGATCTCTCAGGGACCAGCGTTCTCATGGTCTCCGCCGTGCTTTAGTTCGATTCTCCTTACCGAATCGATTGAGACTAGGGATCATCGCAGCCCCTTTGCTTTTTCAGGCTCTTGATCGAGCGCAAGCTCCCGCATGAGTGACAACTCCACGTTGCGCCATCATCGCCGTGGGCAGCGATCTCTGCCGCCGCTTCGATCACCGTTCGACCGCCATGTCCGCATCGCAAAAAGAAACCGATAGCGATACTCTCGTGCTCATTCGAAGCATCTCTGAATTATTAGCGCGCCGTTATTACGTATCTAATCGCGAACCGCGTGCGCACCAGCTGTCGCGTTATGAGCCCCGTCTCCAAACCTGCCAACATCAGTCCGCGATTAAACGCTCACTTGTACGAGGACCGTTTCACACTCACCGCACGATCGAATCATTAGCGAAACCGTCAATACAATTGTATCCACGACTATCTTGAGATTGTAATAAACGCCATTGTCAGCCAGCAGAATACACAATTCTACGTTTTATTTTCCCGGCATCCGACGAGCGAAATCCGCGGATATTAAACACAGCGAACGACCGGCGCCGTAGTTCGAATGTTACAACTTTATCAAATTATCTTCGATAGGTTGTTTCTAAATGTGTGAGAAAGTATGTAAGAAATACTCCTTTTATTTTTAGCTGTTCTGCAACACATCCAAAGCCCCATCAAAGTCGATGAGACACACTTCCATATGTTTTCTCTACCTTATAAATGTTACAAGGTAGAGAAAACATATGGAAGTGTTTCTAAGCTTGAGTCGCCGATTTATCTATTTCGCCCTATGTCGCCCACGAACGTTCGACAAGCGCGTGCGATTCAATTGACACTTCTGCGGGAACCACTCGATATTGATTAAAATTACAACAAAAAATCGCTCATTAATATGCCCTGTACAAACATTAAGAGCGTTTCGTGCCTGATTCATAAACGAATTGACGCATTTATTAGAACAAATGTCGATACCGCCATCATAAACTATGTATATCACCGAACGTTCATGCGTAATACATATACATGTAGTATATTATTTATATATAAATAAAATATCCGAACCACATAGTCTTCACCTATGTTACAATTTTCAACATTGATCAATTTCGGAAGTGACGTTCAGATATGAAATAAAAAAAAAAGGAAGAAAAAGCTAGTCACGCTACTTGTGCCTGTATTTGAGAAGAAAATTCATGTGCCGTAGTCATCTAAACGAATTTACGTAAGAAATCTGAGAGAGTTTTATGAGTCAGTTCAAGGTCGATGATAACTAAAGTCAGGTGTTCCACTGGCAATCAGCAATTTCTCTCGAAATCTGCATCTTAGTTCATCCGCTCTTATTCATCAAGTCATCCAGACTTACGTAAATTCATCGAAAATTTCGTGATCATACGCCACATCAGGACGAAACCACGTATGAAGAAAAGAGTAATCGTAAAACCTATCGCATGAATGGTTTATTTCTGTTAATTTCGTCCTTATATTTCACAGAAAGGTTCGCTAGAACGTTTAAGACTAACTGGTGGGCGGAGGCGGAGGTGGTGGCTGCGCGAGCAAAGTTGGTAAAGTATTCAGGTCTATACCCGGTGGCGCAGGAGCCTGTTGCTGTGGCGGAGGCGGTACCGGAGCAGCGGGGGGCCAACCTCCCATCTGCTGATGCTGCCAGCCTGGGAATCCTGGTGGCGGCGCTGTTCCCGGTGGTGGCGGCCGCATAGGACCTTGCTGACCCTGTTGCCACGGTGGTATGCCCATACCAGGCGGCGGAATCTGCGTGGGTGGCATCTGCCCTGGTGGCGGTGGCTGATTGTTGCCAGCCATCCACGGCATCAATGGAGGAATGTTGGGTTGTGCGGCGTTAGAACCAGGCGGTGGCGGTGGCGGCTGCATCACGCCTGGCGGTGGTGGCATACTAACCGGTGGTTGCCACTGCATGTTCATATTATTCATATTGTCACCCTGACTCCACGGCGGTGGTGCCATTCCCGGTGGCGGCATCATCGGCCCACCCTGCATCATTTGAGGCGGTGGATGTGCTGGGGCTGCCATCAATGCACGAGGTGGTTGTTGCCTGGAGGGAGAAAAAAGATAGAAGACAAACGTGATTGTTGAATTCTACTGATGCAAGAGATTTACATCCGCAGGGAATGATAGAAACGTATATGCACCTATCAAAAAGCCCAGGATAATTGGGATTCGGATTCTGTCTGGGTTGTCCAGATTTCGATCTGTCTGGTGGTGGTCCCTCTCCTAACTCTGCCATGAGCGACATATACTCTTCATCGATTTTTGCTTTATCACCACCAGGACCACCCATACCTCCCATTCCAGCGGCCGCTGGGCCTCCCTGACCAGGTCTTTTTGACCTACAATCCCGAGCAATGTGTCCCGCACCACCGCAACTCGAACACACTATATTGTTCGTCACATTCGGTTTATCTGGACACTGAAATCGCATCGCAAATGAACAATATCAACAGGAACAAATAAACGAGAAGAAAGTTCTTTTAAAGCTTAATAAAGTACGTGTGTAACGTTAATGCACACTCAATTCATACGAAGATATACAAACCAGCCAAGATTTGTGATCCGAGGCTCCGCAATTGGTACAACGTGGACCGTCATTTTCGCGTAGAGTTCCATTTAATAAGGCTAGCTCACGTAATTGGTTACGTCGCAAATCATTTTGGCCTTCTGGTACTTCCACACCTTGCCGAATAATTTCATGTATCTGGTAAAGCATGTATAAAATTTATATCGCATTATTCTCGTTTACTTCAGCTATTATATATTTCAACGTGTAATAATGCAAATACGGTTTGTTTATGCTAAAAAAATCTGAGCGTTGCTATAAATGTCTGGCTTCAAAAGTAAAAAAAAGAAAATAAATTAATATAAATCAATGTGAAGTAACATACCCGTTCCACAGCTTTTTTCACGGCATCTAAATTGTTCGCTGTGATGTACGCATGCAAAGGTTCATCCTCACCTGGTAAGGGTTGACCATCTTTTCTACCAACTTTACCCTCTTTCACAGAACCCTTTCCACGAATTATTATTTTTGCACCTGTCTCTTTTTCCATGGCTACAAAATTTTTGGACATATAAAAATTAAGACTACAATTGTATACATGTGTACGAAGCTAGCGGCACACGATGTTTTTGTATTGAATTGCTTGCTGGATGGAAATACTGCGTTCTGATTGGTATATCGTCAACCATTTTCGGAAATACACTAAACAGAACGCAGTATTTCCATCCAGCAAGCAACCCAGCATAAAAACAAGCATCGTGTGTCGCTGGCTTAAGTTATAGGTTATAGCCACTTAAGCATATTGCTTTGCAATTTATTTACATTTTAGAGTATTCCCCCGTGGTCCAATAAGTAAACCCACGAAATTTATATCGGGATGCTCTTCCTGAGGGATCATCACTTTGTCATGCACTCGTATTATTGGTGGTCTGAGAAAAAAAGGGAATAAATTAAAATATCGTGAAATTATCGACTTATTTAGACGGAAAATTTATTCGATTAACGTAGGGCTTACTCACTTATAATCTGGCGGTGGTTTAAAATCTGGATTAATCTTGAGAATCTTCTGGATCAGATTGTGTCGTTCTTCCTCCAATTTACGTCTTGTACGATACTCCCTTGTGTTTAACCGTTTACCATCACTACTGTAGATTGGCTCTGGAGATGGAGATCTGGAAAACAAAACAAATAATACCATATCAAGATATAAATTTTCGTCAAGACGTTACTAGCATACAAGCAACCTGAGCCTACTATGACCGTATGAATAGGTGGGGAAGAGCTGTTGATTTAGAGCAGAGAATTATGTAGTACGACGGAAAAATCACCGTTATTTCTTTTCTTTCTGGGCTGATTTGATTTAGATTTTCTATTTAATGAGATACTGTCGGACTATGTTGGAGAAATGATCAGTGCATTATAAATTCTTTTCTGTACTAAACATATATATATATATTGAAAGAGAGATGTCTTATATTGTTAATTTTTTATGTAGCATAGGAAAGCTAGATTTTTAGAAGAGAATCATTAAATATAATATTGTAAAGTAACGTTGACATTTTCAATAATTCTTAGTATCAATAATAACAGCATGAGCTGATATTATTAAAATATATATGTAACTCCTAAAAAAGTCGTCAACTGTATTGGTACGCTTATATAATCGTTTATGTACTGTCAAACGAAGGGAATGCGTGTATATTATAATTTTCCATACACACAGTGTCAAGGTATCAAAATAAAGAATAGAAAATTATGCCGCTGTCGAATAGAGCGTAGCTACATATTTAGTGTTCTATTGTACACACAACCACTGGAAGACTGCGCGTTTGTGCACGGCAGATATCGGTATGATGTCAGCTGCTAAGACAGAGATCCTGTGATTATTAAGAAATAATCTTTTGGATTAGTTGTAGTAGTACGATAGATATATCTTACTATATCGTACGCTATCAACGGAAACACAATGACATAAAAGTAACGGTTCCAGCTAAAATCGGAAAAGTTAAACCTATTGGAATAAATCAATTTATTAGGAAAAGTATACGTGTTTATTTAAGATGTACCTGAAAGTAACGTTAGATTCTTCGTTACAGCATTACGTTACGAATTAGAAAATTTCAACAAACCGATATTTTCCTGAAATCTGCTCATTAAGATTGTAATTAACGACAAAGATTAGCAAGTTGATTAATAATCTTCCTATTGGCATCAAGATTATCATTGTTATTGATGGTTTCAAAATGCCGTGCAAATCACGGCAGCCTAAATAAGGGGACAGAATCTTACTCGAGATGACCCATGTATACTGTTGTAGTCAATAATAAAATGACTTGCTATCCGCTGCAATTGTATCATATTCATTAATTATGATACTGTAGAATTTTTAGCCGATTCTTAAGAACAGATCGCAATAGGTTATCTCAAAGTTATTCTATGTGTGCAAGAATGTATCTATTTAAGAGATGTATGAACTAGAATACCCACTGCTCTTTAAACATTGCTACTGATTTATAATTGACGGCTCACTGAATATCAAATACATCTTAAGCCGTTACGTCTAATTCTCAACTCTTGTAAAGAGTTTCGGATCGATCGCGTTGTAGCAATGTTTAATAAAAATGGGATTATTAAAAGAAATTGATTAGGGCAAACCAATATTATCAAAATTCATCTTCTGTGTTGCGTGGGGGCTTCGATCAAGCCCAATGTTTTCAATTAGACATTGGTATTCCACACTAATTGAACCTGAGCCATAGAGATATCTTTAAGGCTCCTGTATTATGGGCTGCTGTATGGTCAGTAGATAGGTATTGTAGATATGTAACGGTCATTTTTGGTATGTAAGTTTCTTTCAAACCTTTCCTCAGGGTTAAGCGGAATTCCAAGGTCTCCAGTGCGTAGCTTCCTGCTGATTTCCTCAATCTGCAGCTGAACTGTAAACCAATGGGTTAGAGGGGGCGGAAACCCCAAGAGTTAGATATTGCCAATTTGCTATAACCGTATACATTCTATAAAATAAGCATGTCTCACAATAAATAAGATTAATGCATGTATTTCAATCACACCATAATCAGTTTCAAAGTCAAAAGCCTGTGGAACTTTATATGACTTATCAACTATGAGAATGTAGCTATTAAGAAAAAAAGAAAAAGAATTATAAGATACAACTTCAAATTTTGTTTTTTGTTGTTTTTCAGTAAATTTATTATGTACCTAAATAACAGGTAATATGTTTATAGATATATCTAGTAAAACTTTTTCCGGGGCATTGAAGATGCAGGAATGGTCGAATCTTAATAATTGAACAAAATTGGCAATCCTTTTTGCCAAATTTGACAATACAGCTTTTAAGGAATCTCGATGCTTACCTATGAGAACTTTGAGCTTTTTATCAATACATACATCATACTTACATCGTTCATTGTCATATACTCTACAAATTAGTTTTTGGAAACTTATATACAAAAGCAAAATATTTGGAATAGTTCCCTAACTATATGTACTAACGTACAAAAAGAAATGTTATAAATATTGAATAAATAAGAAGAACTTACAGAGATAAGCCTTCTCCTGTTCAGGAGTCAGATTTGTCGGTAGTACTGTAGGCATCCCTGGTATAAATGTTTTGTCATGTTCGCTACCTCCCCATCTAGTTTTTCTCCTCTTCTTACGTTCCTCTTTTGTTTCTTTATCTTGTTTACCATCCTCTGTCATATACAAGGAATTATATAATATATAAATCTCTAAAGTATCATTAGCATTGAAACAAGATTTTGTTCATATTACATATATCTTATTTATAACTTATCGAACATTTTTCATTAATTTCTAAACATAAACTGTTTTAAATACAATGTGGGTAATTCTATGAACAGAGGTACTTATAACTACATTGAAAATATCAGAAGAAATATTCTCACAACAGATCTGCCTGATCACATCAACTGCTACTTGTAATCACGCGAATTTGCTACTTAAAATCACGGGAAGCTACATCATTTGCACAGAGCATGTGAGAAACACTGCTCAAAAGAAAAAGATCAAGAGAGAAAAAAAGGGGAAAGGGGAAACTCTCAGAGACATACCCTCTGTTTCTCGTTTGCGATTCTGTGTTGCGGAACTCGCATTCACGTTAGCATTCGGCTGCGGGCTGCCGTTCGCGATCGCGGCACTAACCGCGGCGGCCGCTGCGGCCGAGGCTGCTGCCGCTGCATTCGCGCTCGCCGGATTCTGCTGAGCATTTTGCAGATAACTTGGATTCAGCAACGATGTGAAATTCCTCGACTGATTCATGTTATCGCGATGGACGTTGCAACGTCGGCGACGAGCAGTCAACAACTCTCGTCAACCCACGTGGTGAACGTGTCCAACAACACACGAAGTAACGATTTTCACGACAGTTTCGTCGGCAAAAGATACGCTACTCGAACAACCGACACACTGAGAAAATGGCGAAACCCTCCTGACGGAAGGAAGGTATCGTTAGCGCGCTATTCTCGTCGGGCGTACCACCGGACGTCATCACGTAAAGGCTGATACTTCGTCCTCGAGTCTGTCAGACGCGCCGATAGGCTGTCAGATAAAGGATTTTTGGTGTCCCTAGGAGAAAGACGATCCAACTAGTACGGCGAACATATCGTCACGCGGTTCGCCGATTGGCGCGTCACACCACTGTGAGATATCACGTCACGTGGCCAATCGTACGAGAGGGTTCCAGATTCCCGATTACATCCTGTTATTGGATGGCGCACACACACACACACACACTCGCGAAATTTGTTGTGCGAAAATACGCGACGTTGAAGCGTATTGACACCGGCGGCGGCACGGGAGCAGCAGCGACTACTACGAGCGTGCACGTTCAAGCGTTATGAGTATGAACGAGGGTCCGCCGCCATCGAGAGGATCATTTGACGGGCCGATCATCGCGACCCGGATTGTCGCTGAAGAGCGAGAGTCTTGCGGCTGAGAGGACACTTACTGTGATGCGCCACTGTCCGTTGTCTCGCAAGTACCTCGGCAATGCGACGATGAAGACGGCATTCACGACAATGACGACGATGATGATGCCACGCGACTGCCGCACCACGCGTGCTGCATCCCGGCAGTGATCAGCGCGCACATTAGTGCTACTACAATGACGCAAGTACAGGACAACCGAGCGCAACGTGGAACTGTTGTCGCAGTTGCTTGAATCGTGGAATCGACTCCCCAACTGTGAACTCGGTCGTCCCGCTGAACGATCGCCCGCCGGACAATCCCGGGCGTGATGGCAACTCACAAGACGGGCGGGCAAAGTGCCCGTAAAAAAGTACAGGTACATATGTCACGGCATTGTAGCGCGCGGCTCTCAATTTTCCTCCTCCCGAGGTATCCCATGTGGTAGCCGATCAGCCGTCGAGGACGATCGAGACGTCGCCCGGAAAAGCCACGCGAAAAGGATTACGCGATAACGCGCGTTGTGTAACGTGATAATCGTTCATTTCCTGCATCGTGAGCCCTGTGAATTCCCGGATATTTATTACTTCAGTTTTTTTCCGAGCTGATTGAATGTGTTTTTGTAGCGCCTTGTTGACACTTTGCTACAGCGTTGTCCGTACATTATGTTTGTCTCGTATATTAACTCATAAGTGGGCGCGTGAGGAATAAAACAATTGCCGTTTATAGCGGAAAAATGCTCGAATATTGTCGACGGTACTTTGTTAAATCCAAGAGTAAGTGGCAAGCAGTTACTGAAAGCAGCAATGTCGCAAATAAGAATGAAACGGAGAAACATTCGTTTGTTCATGCGAATCAGTCACGCGTCCACTTGCGGGTTAAAGCGACTGATATTAATGAAATGAAATGTTCAAAAGTCACGAGTGTGAAGGATTTACAATCGATGGTTTCCCCACAAAGGTGTCTATGGTTATACGTGATGAGGTGGAGAGGCAGCACAGAGCCGGTGTTAATTCCTTGCAGTACGATCCAGCTCTGCACAGGCTATATTCCGCTGGTAGAGATAGCATTATAAGGATATGGAATTGCAGAAATATGAAGGAGCCTTACACACAATCCATGGAACATCATACGGATTGGGTCAACGATATAGTGTTATGTTGTGGTGGCAAGAATCGTATGTACCCACTTTGTGGATCGCAAGTTCTCCGCGATATATTAATCTCCTCGTTCGTCTCTCAAAGTTCCTCACAACCGCTAATGTGTTAATCGAATCGTCGAATCTGTGCAGTTATATCCGCGAGTTCGGACACCACTGTCAAAGTTTGGAATGCACATAAAGGTTTTTGTATGTCCACACTGCGTACGCACAAGGACTATGTCAAGGCATTGGCGTACGCCAAGGACAGGGAGCAGGTTGCTAGTGCGGGTTTAGATAAGTCGATATTCCTGTGGGACGTTAATACACTGACTGCTCTTACTGCAAGCAACAATACAGTGACAAGTATGTACTTGTAGATACATGGCGGTGCTACTTTGCAGAGATTTTGCTTCTCTTTCCTACCATATAAGAGGGCATTAATATCGTACATACAATATATTGCAGCATCGTCTCTAAGTGGGAACAGAGATTCTATATATAGTCTCGCCATGAATCAAACTGGCACCATCATCGTAAGCGGCAGCACAGAGAAAGTTCTTCGTGTGTGGGATCCACGATTTTGCACGAAACTCATGAAACTTCGCGGCCACACGGACAATATCAAAGCATTGGTCTTGAATAGGGACGGCACTCAATGTCTATCAGCCAGCTCTGATGGCACTATTAAATTGTGGTCGCTCGGCCAACAAAGATGCATGCAAACGTACAGAGTTCATAAGGAAGGCGTGTGGGCGTTACTGGTAATTATAGATGCGCGAATCTTGGTTGTTTATGCAGTTATTGTGCAACAGTTATTGTACTAAAAAAAACAAAAAAACGGTGTATTTAGGCAACAGATAGTTTTAGCCATGTAATATCTGGAGGCAGGGATAAGAGAATAGTGATGACAGAGTTGGGCTACGCGGAGAGATACACGGTTATCTGCGAAGAGAAAGCGCCTATACTCAAGATGGCTATGACGCCAGATCAATCTAGTATTTGGGTGGCGACTAGCGAGTCAACCATTAATAATTGGGTAAGTAAAGTCTTTCGAATTCTCGTTAATAATAAGAATTTGTACAAAAACGCGCACACGAGGGGAATATACATATTTAATGTTTTAGTCTATAAGCCAAAAGGACTGGCAAGAGCTTGGAATCGGAGATTATTGCGATTCCGCCAGTAACGTATCGGGCGGTGTAAATATATTGAGAAACACTGAACCCACGCAAAAGATATTAGGCGGTCCTGCCATAAGACATTATCATGTGTTAAATGATAAAAGACACGTTATGACGAAAGACACGGAGGAGAATGTTGCACTGTATGATGTATTAAAGGCGTGTAAAGTAGAAGATTTAGGCAGAGTCGATTTCGAGCAGGAGTGTAAAAAGAGAAACAAAATGGTATATGTTCCAAACTGGTTTAACGTTGATCTCAAGACAGGGGTATGTATCTCTTTGAAAAATCGATGCTCTCTCCCTCCCTCTCTTTCTCGAGTTGAATTGATCCTAACTGGTCATTGCAGATGTTAACTATACATTTAGGGCAAGACGAGAATGATTGTTTCTCTGCATGGGTTTCTGCGAAAGAGACTGGTTTGGCAGAGAACGATGCTGTAGATCAAAAAGGTAACGACTCTTAACCTAGCTAATGACGGCTCGTGCTTGAAGACGCTAATGATGCTGGTGAATTAAAAATAATGAAAATTTCACCAAGATTTTCCTCCTGTATTTCAGTGAATTATGGGAATCTATTGTTGCAAGCCTTACTTGAGCACTGGTGGAGGCCGTTACACGCTGACGACGAAAACGAAGGCAATAGCAACGATGGAAATGGTCCCATACATACGAGAGGAGGAAATCCATACTTCTCGGTACCTAGTCACACACCTGTCATTTTCAGGTATGAAAAAAATTATTCAAATTCTCAACGAACAGACAATTATCACGTAATTTCTTTCTTCCAGCGAAGTGGGAGGCAGAACCCTTTACCGACTATTAGTCCGAGATGCCGCAGGAGAGACCGAAGGTGTGCTGTTGAACGAAACAGTACCGCCATGGGTAGTGAACATTGTCGTAGACAAGAATCTTCCGCAATTCATTAAGATACCCTTCTACCTTCTTCCACACGCCACTTCCGGTGTAAAGAGTTTGAAGAAGTACGTATTGCGCAGTGTCTTTTCCGGAGGTTCCGCGCGAACTGGCGAGTAGTCAAATAATCTTTCCGTTTTATTATTGTCTTAAGGGATCGTTTGATCGCGAATGATTTTATACAAGTGCGCAAAGTGGCAGAGCATGTTTACGATAAGGTGCTCGGTGCAGGAAGCGATTCAGGTTCGGTAGCTGGTGGCGGAAACACGGTATCTGGTGGATCTCCAGCGGGCGATAGAACGAACACCGACTCCAATGCTGACAATTCTTCGTTGGCCGAGGAAAAGGTCGAACTCCTGTGTAACGATCAGGTCTTGGATCCGTCGATGGATTTAAGAACGGTATGTATAGAATAGAGCGAGGCTACAGGCTCCTATCGTCGGGAAAGATTCCCCTCACGTACAACCGTTTGTTTTTAAAGGTCAGGCACTTTATCTGGAAAAGTTCGACAGATTTGACACTTCATTATCGCCCTGTTAAATAGTTAGGATTAACTACATTGCATCATGAGTCTTTACAGTGTGCCTGGTTTTATACCATGGTAAGATATGCCGTATTTGTCCGTCTTTTTTTGTCGATTCCGTATGAAAACTACACGTTCGTTTCAGAATAGTGGAAGATACATGGGCTATTTGCAAAATATGGTACCTTGTGCCACTGTCTCTTTAGGAAACGATCACCTGGATTTCACGGATGTTTCGTTGGACAACGTCGAGACAAGAGCAAAAAAAAGCAGCGAGGCGTATTTGGAGTATTAGGAATAACACGCGAAGTTCGAAGGCAATAATGTGTGGAAGTATTAAACGTAAATTGCTCACTTTTATACACCTGCATCCTGCGGCCAAATTCACACTACAGAGCATTACTCTCGATCGATTCGATCCGCTTGAGAATAGCATGCTTTTTGTACCTGGATGTAGAACTTAAAGCGCTTGTTGTCAGCCACTTATCGTCTTCCCACGTCCGAGTTATCAGTAAGAAACAAATATGGCACAAATACGAAGGGAGAAAATGAACGGAGGGATAGACCGCATGGCCGAGAGAAAATTATTCGTTTCGTCAGGTCTAAATGCCAGGTGATCCTCACGAATGCTCCTCAAATTTTTCTTTATTAATTCTACTTTAGCTGTATACTTCGAGTAAATAGGATCCTTTCGTTTTAGTATTGTAATAAAAATATTGAGTATTTATTGAAAGTATGGAAAAAAGAAATTTATAATGTTTTGTTACGTGCATGCATGCAAAATGTACTCCACACCTGCCTTGTTACATTAGAAAACGAAGAGAAGAAGTACACACACACACACACACACACATATATGAAAAAGAAAGAAGAGAGATATGTCAATTTACCATTAATCAAATTATATTTGAATAGCCAAATTAGAAGTTCAATATTTCCTGTCTCGTTCAAATGGGAAATGAAAAAAAAAAGTGTATTTGTCTGCAATGTAATAAGATCAAATTCTGTCTCCCGATCGAAGCTAATGAAGTATGAATATGTATGAACAGTATACATACTTGACATACTACTAGGATGAATGGATTCGGAAAAGTATTCAACGGAATTTGATCTTAGAAGAGATTTATAATGAATAAAAATTATGTAGTTCTTATGTTAACATATTCGATTTTCTAGACTCTATATAAAGTGTATATATGAACGCGACTGTGAATAATGTCCATTAACAGTAGGTCGTAATATAATAAAAATTTAACAAATCTTACTGTGCAGACAATTCAAATTACAAGCCGATAATATGTACTGTTACTGTGCAAAGGTTAAAAATCTTCAGGGGAAAGAAGTTATTATTAGTTCACATATTACTACGGTCTGTGAGTTACATGATTTGCGTTATTAAAGTTGTGCGAGCAAATCCTTTTACAAGTGCAAAATAATATACCATTATTATTATTTTTAAGCGCTACACAATGTACGATATATCGCTATGTTCTGTTATCAAGCTTGGTTAAACCTCGATTTGGTAATGCTTAATATATATAAGAGTTTATTTGCTATTGCTTCCTTTTTTTGCATTCATTCACAAGAACTATTTGTTAAGATAATATGATAAAGAGACTACTCTTGACTCATTGAAGGTACGTAGGTGTGCGTGCGTGTCAAAAAACAAAATGTATCGTCCTACTTAAGATTGCCTTATTTGTTATCTTGGCAAACATTGTTTTAAAAGAAATTGTGCAGCGAACTTATATTTTTTTAATCGTTACGCGAAATCTTAAAATATAATTTGAAACCAAATGTAAGTTAGCTTGTAGTATAAAAATATAGTTATCTTTTAAACACCTCTCAATACGGTACGTTACGAAGAAGAGATAAGAATTGTAAGTTGCGTTTGATCTTAAAAATTATTTATTACGATGTGACTCGTACGATAGTATATATAGTGATTAATAATAATCAGAGTTATTCGCGCGGTTCATTACACAGTTCTCTCAGAGTGTGCTGTACATATATTAGTGTTCTCTATGCAAATGTATCTCTTGCATAAATCGAGATTGATCATTTTGCGATTTTATTTTTTCGAACAAGTCAGTTTACTTTAAGACATTCGTTATCATAAATCGAGGGATTTATTATTAATCGTGATGTGCCTGATCATAGATCACAAGTTACAGAGGGCATTTCAATTGACTTGTATTGATATTTAAAACAATCCATAATTATACAAGATACGCATTACCATTTTGTTCGTGTTATACGAATGACATTATAGAAATTATAAAGTACGTCGAGAAGTTACCACTATCGTCGTAAATTTTTACCATCATTTATTTCTGTAGCGAGCAGCATATGACGCGATAACGCGCATTCAGTCTCATCATCGTTTAAAACATCGCTTATATACGAAGAAACTGAAGTATCAATATTAGACCGTTGATAGTGTGAAAAATCAAAATCAATCAACTTCATCTCCCTTTAACGTTATATTGAGCATCGAAAATAAACAGTGTTGGTATTTGTGACCTGTATAAAAAAAAAAAGGAGTTGTATATCGGTGCCAAATTTTATACTAAAAATGATATTTCGTAGCGCACCAATACTCCGACAGAGAGAAAGAGAGCACTTTGTTTCTGTGAACTTGCTTTATTATCGAGCGCAGGTTCTACAGTGGTACTATTTACGATATAAGGTTACGCAGTAGCGACAAAGTCATGAAATTTATAATTTTCTAGAACGAGATAAAAATTAGTATCGTCTCGTCTCAGCAAAAGTATCGAATGTGTGTATATCATACGAATTACTTTGTAAAATACGTTTTACTGTCCTAACGTGAGTTATAATGAAACTTTCCAATGTCAGTCTACAAACATGTCAGATTTTCTACAATTTTCTACAAGAGTGTGTAATGAGACGATATTTCTGTCATCCTCGATCGATATTTTCGTGTGTTTATCTGATTATCTTTGTAATACATCGATTCGAATCGGAAATTATATGAATAGAATTGCAGAACGCGATAATACGAAAATTCATATCAGAAAGAGGATTGATTTCCATTTGTATTTATCGTCTACAATAATATGGCATCACTCTAGACTATGTACACTATAAAAGGAAATAATCAATATATATAAATAAAATATATAATTTAATACAGAAAAAAATCTCATTGTGTCCATATGCAGCAATGTGCGCGAATAAAGAATTCCGGCTGCTTATTAATTTCACCAACCACAAATCTTCAAATGCCATTATCAAGAATATTTTCCACTGCTTGTACGAAAGAAGCACATACTTTTGCTGGTCCCGGAATAATCGTGTTCTCATCTCCTGTTCTGTATTTGCCAGTTTGCACCAGAATACCCCTGATCCCGGCTGCTTGCGCACCGGCTACATCGTCTCTCACATCCTAATTACAAATTCATATTTGTGTGACCGTGTAAGAAAGTTGTAATTATATGTTATAGAAAAAAGAAGAGAAGAATTATTTGAAATATTACGTCTCCGATCATTACAGCCTCTGTTGGATCTACCTCCCCTAAAGCTGCCTTGAAAAATCCTACGGTTGGTTTACCAACTACCTCCGCTTTCGCGTTGCTAGAATATTCTAAACCTTTAATAAAAGCTCCAGGACCTAAGGCCAGACCATCGGGACGTTTGTAATATCGCCCTTCATGAATAGCTATGAGTAACGCGCCATCCAACAGTAATCTAAAATTATAACGTGCACGTTGTACGTGTTCGACGTACGAAAGATAAAAAAAAAGAAGGAAAGAAATGCCAAACAACCTGAAGGCTTTATTCAGTTCGTCGTAGTTGAATCTGCTCGGCGCCAAGCCAACCACCACTGCATTAAGCGCTGTATCGTCTTTGACTAAATCTTCAAAATCTTCCATCGCTGCTGGATCAATCAAGAGCATTGGATTTAATTGCCGAGAGACAATCAGTTTTCTCGCTGCAGCTAAAGAACTGAAGATTTCTTCCTTTTGCAAGTCAAAGCCAAGATTTGTCAGACGCCTGTACAAGCAATTACTTGACTCTTTGGTGGTGTTAGTGACGAACTTGATCGACAGATTTGCATTCCGTAGCCTAGATCACAAGTTTATAAATTTGTGATTACGGTAGAATAGAGTTCACACTTTCAAGTCATATTAGATAATAATTGTTTTTATTTATTGGCATTTAATTTTTATTATTTTATAATCATTTATTATTAGGGGAGACCGTTGGTATTCTAGAACATTTTCGTTAAACATAAGCTTCATTCAAACTGCGAGGTGATCTCACTGTTATATAATCAGAGAGCCCGTCATTGGGCAATAAATTTGTTATTATCATTCTAATTATTGAAAAAATTATGAAATGAACAAAATTACACAGAAAGAGAATGAATTTTTCAAATTTTGACATTAGTTAAAAAATATCGCGCCATTTTTACAGAGATTGCGCTGTAGTCAGTGCGCACGACTGTGCCATGTATTTATAATTAAGACAAGCGAATAAACAACAAACAGTACCTGTTTAACGCTTGCACAACGCCAGGGATAACTGTATTATCGATATGCAACGTTCCACTGAGATCTATCAATACTGTTGTGATTTTTTTCGCCATTATTATCGCTATTCCTGATATAACCAACTAATCATACATATTCACCATTACATTGTTTTGAAGACAAGAGCGACCCCATATGTCGCTATGAGTGTCGGTTCACATTAGGTATTTTAAGCCATATGAAATTGACCAATCACAGTTGAATGTGAAGAGAATAATTAACTGTGATTGGTCTATTTCTTAAGTTTTAAGGCCTAAATTGTGGACCGATACTAAAGCCCGTATCAGATTACGGATTGGGAATTGAGATTGAAATGAATTTGGCTAATCAGTGCAAAGTTAACTAAACTCAAGTTTAGTGAAATTTAATGAACTTTGCACTGATTGGTCAATTTTCAATTCAATCTCAATTTCTAATCCGTAGTCTGTTACGGGTTAAATGCGATCGTAGGGTCGTATAGTTGCAGTTGTTCGACTTGGTGGTCCACTTCAGGCGACCACAAATCCAGTCGCTGGTATTGAAAGTCGACCAACTCGAACGACCGTGATTTTACGATTGCCAACGGTGCATTGTAAATCAAGCTCAAAAACCACCTATCAACTACCTATTCAGTGTAAATCCTGCATAACGGAATCTGCCTTTAAAGACCATATGACGTGTGAATACGCACGTGGTGAAGATAAACATGTTCTCCGGGAAGCGGGACGACGTGAAACAAGTACCGTGGTTTTCTCTGTAAGTATTGATTTAAACTATGCCCCGATAAACAAGACACCTATTAATAACAATTAGTTTAATCTATTAATTTTAAGAGCCGAGTGGTACGACGTCTATAAGAAAATTTATTCCAACGATACAGTCGAACAAACAAAAGCGTACGAAGCGCTTCTAGCATGGAAAGGCAGGTAATACGACTATATGTATTCAAGAGATGTTAAAAAGAAAACAATAAGATCAGCTACGTGAATATGAATTACTTTACAGAATACCAAAGTTACCGGTGGGTGTAGACAGCACTCTTTCGATCCTACAAGTCTGCCTACGTGATCGCGAGTGGACGACCAAGATCGACAACGGAGAATTGCCAATGTATTGCGAGAACGATTTAAGCTTAATGTATTCTACCACGATAATGAGATTCTTAAATCACGTATCAACTATAGGACACACGAAACAAGTATCCCTATTTAAAATCGCTCAGCAATTGAAAATTCCTGAGTGGATAGTCGGTCTGAGGCACAATGCTGCTCACGGATATGAATTAGCGCCTCTTGGTGTATTAAGAATAGCGATTAACATATTGCTTGAATGGTTACATGTGTGTATTATAAATATTTATATATTTAAAATATATATTATATGTGCATCTGTTGAAATATTATATTTAAAGGAAGAATATTGGGCACCTGAAGCACTTGCAATGGAACAACTTTGTACAAAAGAAGACGATACATTAGAAGTGGAGTCGGACAACACACAGGCCTTTAAAGATCTAATTGAGCTTTGGACAAGTGTTGGTTTATACATTCATGCTGGTTATCAATTAGTATCAGATATACCAGATACTGAGTTACAGTATGTATTGCAATCTGAGTAAACTACTGTAACAATTTTCTCCTTCCGAAAAACAAATTCATACAGTTCATAGAATGTAACTGATTTTATATTTAAATTACTTTTTAATATTGTATCAGGATTACATTACAAGATTTACGGACATATGTATTGTCCCAGCGTAACAGAAGCTTAGACGATGACAAAGATGAACACATGCAAGTCGATAAGAGAAATATTGAAAATGAGAAAAAATACGACTTGAAAGCTACCGTACAGGCTTTACTTTTATCTGAGATATCTGCATATCTATCCAAGAACTTGTCTGTACACAAGCAAGGTGACACAATTTGTAAAGTGTTGTGCGAAAATGGAACTTTCTTACCTAATTCAGATATTATGCATATCTTTTTGAGGAAAGGGAGACGAAAAATTAGCTCTGGTAGAAAATTTATACCTACCAATATGCTACAGTTTTGGAAAGATATTATTATCTTACTGCACAAGAACAATTTATTGAAGGCGTTGATATTTAAGCTGCTCAATATCTTAGATGAAGAACATGAAATTAAGGAAAGAAAAATATTCGCTGCTTTGTGGATAAATACTATTGTCTATAGTTTTATTCAACTCGACATTGCTCAAAATGTCTGTCGCACAATGGAATATAATTTAGACGAATCGGGCAAGCAATTATCTACCAAGGTTTTAATTCAGCGTGTCATGATATATGTACACGGTAAATATTCGTATTTACAAAATGTTTTGTGGATAGATGTATCGAGCACCATACCATGCTTTCTTTTCGATATAAACTTCGTGTCGAAGTTTTTATTGCGTGCAAACGAATTCTCTGCGGAAGTGATACAATCACTTCTGAAGTTTGTTAAACCGAAAATAGATGCGAATACAGAAAAACACCTGTTAAACTTACTCGAAATCTACATATTTAAAAAATGTGACGATGATAATAATCAGAATATTGGCGAGAAAATATACACTGTTGACGATCTCCGTGTAAATTCAGTAGAAAATGAAGTGCCGGAGGAGGAACGTAGCGAAAAGAAAACTTGTTTGTTAGCGGATCAAGTGATTCGCAATTTGCAGTGGAGACCAGCACTCGGTACGTTTGTACGAATAATCTATTTTCTGAAGGATTACGTATTAGTGTGATAACTTATAATATAAAATATTTCATTTTTAGATACTTATCAGTGGGATAGATATCCTATTGGCTTATTGCCATGGCAAGATTCGTTGGGAAGTTTAGAACCACTCAAGCCGAAATTACCAAAACATTCAGCTTCAGTTCTGGAATCGCAAATAGTTCCTGGTATTGTAAACACTAAGAATTTAAAGATGGAAAGTCGTATCAATTGGGATAACGTATTGCGAAAAAAGAAGGAGAAGAGGAAACGTGACGAGGATGATAACACTGACGTTATAATGAACAGAGCATTAGAAGTTGTAAAGAGGCACAAGTGAATCCAGTTTGCACCGTATTAAGAATGTTGTTTATCAAAAATTACACCATATAACAAATAAATTACATGTATTTCTAATAAAATTTGTTAGAACAACTCAATTTTATCGTGGAGTATTTACCTTTTAAGCGGTATATATCTCTCTCTGTTTAATGCTAGACATAAAAAAATATATATAGATAATATTACAGAAATGAGGAAAAGTATACATTTCTCCCACTATGCATTCGAAAGAATATCTACACAAGTATACCGCTATCGTAATTATTACACAGCAACCACATCCAAGTATAAATAATTCATTCGCCTATTTCTCCCTTATATGCTTCTCACATGTATAAACATTATAACAAATGTTACATGTACAACTGTATCTGTTATAAAAGTGTCAAGTTTATCCAATATCACAACATACAAGCATCGTTGCTTTGAAATACGTTTGAAAAGAGAAGAGGCCGTTAGTTTTTTTTTCATGTTAAAATTTTAGAACTCGATAAGATACGTGCATTTTACACTATACAGATAAATATATGCATTTTCCACTATAGTATGTACAACATTAGATCACGCACATACAAATAATAATTTGTCATCGCGTTTAGGGACGGGACTAAAGTCAATGAACCATATTCGTGGATTACAATGAAATTAATAACTGGACATTATTTCATTGATATTGCCCAGTACTTGTAAAAGTTATGAAATCGTTTTGCGTACGTATATAAAGTACTTGATTATGTCCTAGATCATCGTCGTTACCGTATATATCTGTATATATTATTTAAAACCGTATTTTATCCCATCCCATTAACTATCGCAATTATTTATTATAACATGCTTTAGAAGTGCACATAATGCATCTGTTTACTTCTTTGGTTCAGCAAAACAGTATGTTCTTAAAAAAAAAATAAGCTCCCACACAACATATATGTCTAAGAGTTATCTCAAAGACATGCTTTATGACGTCTCAAGTCTTAATGTTTTCTGAACTAAGGTACGTATTGTCGCTTCATCTTCGGGAGCTACTTTAGAACGAATAACTAATTTGATCAGTCAGATGCGTTTTTCTTAGCACTTCTTTCAAATTTTTGCTCGATTCTAAACCGAACATATCTAATGGTATTCGGGACATCACCGCTATCCTAAAATAAACGTAGAAATGCAATTTAGAACAATAGACAACCATATAAACTTTAGACAGACGGTACACTGACTTTTTAACGTAACTTACCTTCCACCGGACATATTATAGAGGAATTTGAAATAAGATGATCGCAAGTTTTGTGGTTCTATTATAGCTGCATGGAAAAGAAGTGCGGTACTAAGACAATACCACAAGATCATGAACCATTTTACTTCAGGTACTTTTCCGCTTTCCACTGCGTCATTCCACAGCAACTAAATAGTGCAAGCAAAGCAAATAGTGGCTATAACTAGGAGATTAGTAAGAATGATGCAAAAATAATACCTGTAATGCCTTCCACATAAAGTATAACGCTATAACGTTACTGGGATATGTCATAAATGCCATACTCGCGATAAATCCAGCGGGAATAGCATAAATGTGTGAATCCTTGTGGAACGTTCTTCTTAACAAACATGATATTACCTACATATAAAGACAGAGGAAGACATTAAGTGACAATAATGATTACTCGCTGGACATCATTGTCATCGACATCGTTCACTATTAATTCCTCTACTTGTATTTTACTTTAATACATAGAGACACAATAATATACCCTGAAAAGGCCGGAACATCCTCCAAGGAATATAGCCAGATTTAGGTTTTCTCTTCGAAGGATGGTGGTTTTTATTAGTTTAGGATTCCGAAGTAATTTTTTAAATTGAAGGATTAGTTGAAGTGCTAATTGCCCGCCAATACCATAACTGAAAGCTCTTGCACTACCCTTTAAATAGAAAGATAAAATATGTGGAAAGGAAATTTCCACTTGTTATTATTATTAGATTATTTTCCTTTATTCATACTGCAGACATGGGAATGACTTAACTGTTGAAAACCATGAGATGAGTTTCATTTTTGAAAAAAATTTTTGAAAAAATAAGAAAATAGTGAGTTAGCTTCGAAAGACACATTTTTTTCAAATAATTTGATGTGCGTTAAAAATTAAATTTTTGTTCATCTAATATACCATTCCTTAAAGAAATTAAAAACTTCGCATTTTTCCAAACACATTTAATGAAGTGAAATAAAAATAACACTTGAGTTCAATGAAGTTATATTATATGTCTAGGATATTGGTATATTTCAGATTTTTTGTTATTAAACAATTTAAAAATAGGAAAGAAAAATATTTAAATTACAGACGTTCCCCTTGAAAACTAGTCAACTTTTTAAGAATATTAAAAAAATAATATTCAATAATATCTAATTTAAAGAAAATCCAATCGAGTGTGCCTGTAGCGGTCATTGGCTGCGTTCGGGGAGCACGCTATCAGCGATAACGCGTTATTTTATCTTTCCCTCATTAGATATACGACAAGGATAGAATAACGCTCGTTAGCGCTGATCAGCGCTAACGCATCAATAGTCCGAACATATCCATTATCTGTTTTCCTGCTGTCACTTGTAAATACTTCTCATCAAATAGTTCTCATTTTGAGTTTGGTGGGCAAACAAGAATTACAGATGAACAAACATAGACAAATTGTGAACAGTTAATTCCACTATATAATTAAAAAATAAAAAAAAGAAAACAGTCATGTGTACTTATGATTGTCACTGTCTGTTTTTCTGACAAACTTGATAAAATCAACTTAAAAATAAGATCACGATTCTTCACTTTATAAATATTGTATCATCAGAGTCATTATTACTTTCTATTGTCTATTGAATCCTTTGTTTAATCCAAGTTTTTTTTAAGGACTTGAACAAGGGAAAGTTCTTTTTTTCTTAAGTGAGAAAAAATGAAATGTTTTGAAATAAGTGAGAAAAATTGAGAAAAATGAGTCACTCCCATGCCTGATATTGTTATTCTTACCGTTAAAATATAATGCGCACAGCTATAAGGATGTGGACACGAGGCATGTCTGCTGCGCGCTTTCAAAATATTTATTAAATATTTGTATGTTTCAAAAGATTTTTGAAGAATACTAAATTTATTCTTCTTGCATTTCTTCCGTATATCGTTATTCTCCTCTATACTGTTATCTTCGACACTTTCGAAGGAGGCTTTGGAATGAGAATCTTTTTTCACGGCGTATTCAGTCTCTTCATACGGTCCAATAATTAGCCTATTTTTTTTTTTAAGTTATATGTAAAGTATACAAAAAAGGTCAAGTGTAATGAGTATACGAATTTAGATACCTCAATATCTTATATATGGAATCTTGCTTGTTCACTTTGGAACGGAAAAAGTACAATAACACAGCTGCACTCACAGCAAAGATATAGACTTCCCCTTTCGGAATAGGTGAAAAATATCCTCTCCACACACCCATTCTAAACAACGTTTCTGTGGCCTAAAAGAAAACAACGATAAAATCTGTATCCATAGTTACCATAGTTACAGACCGTTACAAGGCACTACTTACAACGTTCGCTACATAGAGACATAATAACGGACGCCTAGAAGGTCTTTCTATTAGAATAGCAGTTAGACTAGATAAAAAGGACGGAACATAAGACACAGTCAAGATGTTTAAGTGCCCAAGTAGCCGGCTGAAACAATTATCATCTATGTATCTTTTATTGTTGCCCTTACTTTTTATCTTATTTATTTAAATATAATAATGTCCATATAAATATATTAAGAAGATTAATAATCATTTAAGGTACAAGATTATAAGTTCTTTAAGATACTAATTTCACTAAGCAATTATACTTAATTGTCATGCTCACCTCAAGCAGCAGATAAACAATGAATAAGAAAAACCACTCCATGCAAGAAATGCTGTCGATTGTAAAATACCCAATATAGTTTTCTTGATGTCTTCCTTCGTTGGTTTCTTTCTCTTCATTAAAAGAGCAAACTAAAACAGCAGAAACAGAGGTCAGCGAACGTAACAAGAGAATAAAATAATTTTACATAAGCTAGCTTGCTAAACATTACAATTTTTGCATTTTAATATTGGAACAAACAGTTATAAAAGTTGTGCGTTATAACTGCGAAAAACTGTAAATTAGATACTTTAGCCCCAATACATTCAGTTTCAAAGTTCTTGTGTACTTAGAGATCATTGCCAATTAATTATTCAATAAATATCTGAATAAATTTGTTAACTTTAATTTTTCGAAAAAACCAATTCATACATGAACATTTATCATGAACTGTTAGTAATGCAATATTGATGTGTGCGTGTCGTAACGTGACGACCTTTAAACGTAGTAAGATGCGTGAGTTTTTAAATGCAAAGTAAATATCGAATATTTTATATAGTAGCGCAATAATAGGATAAAATAAAAATCAATATATTTTATATGATTACGTTGTATAGGTATACTGCGGTTTTTTTTTTTAATGTCGAATGTTTAATATTCTGAATATTGCAGAAAACGACACTTATATGTGTCTAGCAGTATTCAGTTGTGCGTATTGCGAATCGATTCAATTATATAAGTAATTTTACTATTCGATAAAATATATAATTATTTATTATTATATTAGATATAATAAGTCTGTTTAATAATAAACCAGCAGTAATTAAATTAATTCATCGTTAAGTAAAATGCATAACCTTCAGTTATGTATATATACTAAATTTGTTTTGGCAATATTAATTGAAATTCACATAATAATGAATGTGTTGACAGAGTTTTCAAGGCTAGCCTTATTGAGCTATCGGATTTCAGGTTTTAACGCAATTTATGTAAAAGTTTCACCGCGTAAATTTTCCTATTTAAATGAATCGGTCGTTACATGAAATGTTAGGTGTGTGCAAAAATTCAAATCTTTTGACTCTATAAAAATAAAATGGAAATTTGCGAAAAGAGATATGTACGTATGTAGATATGACAAAATCATAAATTTAAATATTACGCATCATGAATGTATTATGTAAATCTTCAACTGACATTATCTTGACCTCGTTAATCTTATGTGACTTTGACGATTTCATATATTCCCTTACGATTTTTTTTTCTTGAATTTCAATAGAAAGAAACGAAGATTACGAGGACGCAAAATGTATTTCAAGAAATGTAAATTAAGCAAAATCGTTCATGTAACGCTTTCGTGACTTATGACTGACATCACTAATCAAAGATTAATGATTAATCGAAGTAGAGAGATGAAACGCGAGATTCCACACTTCATCACAAACACATCAGGCGACACCCAGAAATCGAGTTTTTACAAGAAAAGAAAAAAAGCGACACGTCAAGAGCAATCATCCCGTGCGAACATTCCAATCGAAAGGAATAGAAGGACGCACGTCAATGTTGGTACGTACCAAGTAAAGAGTCGTATATATCCTCAGGCTCTCCTCGAGGGAATGCAAGCCGAGACCAGCGTTCGAGCTGATGCATGAGCTCGTCCACGGATGAGAGTATTCTGCGCATGTTGCATCAACGGCGAATTTGCTGAGTCGTACGGGCATCTTCGGTGCGTGTGCACGCGATGACAACACAACACGACAGACAGTACACGATGAGCCCCCGTCTCACGCACGTTGCCACGATCGTCGTCGATGCAGCAACGAGTGGCGCATGGATGGGTGAGGACGGTGTGCGTGTATTCGTGGGCCCGAATTCGTATGTTGTGCTCTTCGTCCTTGTTTCTACGCTAATTGCGCTCAGATGATCGGCACGCACGGCTCCTGGTGCACATTCACGATGGATTGCATCTTGGCTGTTATTCCTCTGCGTACGGTTATCATGTACAGATACAGTGGATATACTTGCGTAACGAAGCACAACCTTGATCCGCAGTGTCGCTTACACGACTGAGAGAGAACGGCGATGCAGAATACTTTTACGAGCGCGCGCTCGAGATTCGATATCGGCTCGGCTCGGACTCTCTCGGATGAAACGCGCCGGCGCGTCGCGGGGTCACGTAAGATTGACCAAGTGACTTTGATACATACGTACTCGTCGAGTTGCTACCGACGACTGATGATGATGGTGGCCATTTTTCGCCACATCGGATACGAGTGCTTATTATTGATGAGATATAGGCTGACGCGGCAAACGCGTACAGCTCGGCTTACTGTTAAGAATTTTGTTTGCATAACAAACGACGTTGACGTTATGACACCCGTTACATATTCATTATTGTGTTGACGACACATATGTCTCGGACATTCGCGACATCTCTGGTTATAATCAAAGAATTGTGAAAGGAATCACTGTGAATTGATTTCTGAATTTTTTCAAATTTTGCGATTGTATTTTATACAACTACAAACATATATACATGCATAATACAGGGTGGGCCAATAGTCACTTTACCATTTAAAAATGAAATAACTTTTTTACTTTTAATTATTTAATAATTTTAATGTCCAATAATTCATACAGTACCGCTTGTGTGCAGGTAGAATGAATTAAATTATAATAATTTAATAATTTAATAATTTTTGTTTTTAATATTATAATGTACACCTCTTGGAGATTTTTTTGGCCTAAACATGAAAGATAACATCGTTTAAATGACCCCCGTTTTCCCTTTCTCAAAGGACCTCTTTCTATGGCACTTTCCATAACTGCTTGCAAAGTGACTCTGTTTATCATTCGAATTTCCTGACGAATATTGTCCTTCAGCTTAGCAAGAGTTCGGGGCTTAGTAACAAACACTCGCTGTTTCAAATATCCCCATAAAAAGAAATCCGGGACCGTCAGATCAGGGGAACGTGACGGCCAACGAAACTCTACATTTCTGGAAATTATTCTTTCTCCGAAAATTTGCGGGGTCTTCCATGGAAGATTCCCTGGACAGAATCTTTCTGTTGAAAACGCCGAATGAGGGTCAATATCGTTGGTTTTGACGGAGAATTTCTTTCGTTAAAGTGTCACATATATGTTCTCTGAGTAAGAACAATGGAACGCTGATGTTCAAAGTAAAACTCAATAAGTTTTACACGTTGTTCTATCGTCAATTTACCCATAATTTATTTCCGAATTCTGTATTTAAAAAATCTGAAACAAAAAGATACATAATAGCAAAAAAGTTATTTAATTTTTAAATGGTAAAGTGACTATTGGCCCATCTTGTATATAAAATGTAAACAGAATGTCCAATAATTCATACAGTACCGCTTGTGTGCAGGTTGAATGAATTAAACTTTACAAAAAAGTTCTCTACTATTTTGCAAACAATCACGCGAAATTTCGAATTATTATGATTTTTATTATTATGATTATTATGATTGAAATGGCTATAAGGCTTTTTCAATTAATGACTAAAAAATTTGCGTATTATTTGCAAAATATAAAAGACTTTTCTGTTCAGAGTGGTCTAATCTACAAATATATGACAGCTATTGTACCTGTGACAGGTTCAAAGTTTAATATATTGACGTCTGTCGTCAGATACAACAACCGTTGTATACTTGTAGATCGTTCTGAACAAAAAACTTCTGTACTATTTTGCAAATGACATGCAAATTTTTGAATCATTAATTAAAAAGCCTCTATACTTGGTCTAGCGATTGAATTACACTTTGTATAAATATATATGATGCATAATATAAATTACTTGTAGTCGTGTGGAAATTACGCTTCTACGTCGTGTAGAAAACATCGATTCTAATAAGGACTCTTATCAGAACGGTTACAACACAGTTTTTTTACATGCTTCGCAACACATAAAAGATACAACTAAACGAACCTATAATCCACGAACATGCGCAATGAATGATCAGACAACTGTCAAAATCAATGTTATATAATCAAGGTTGTCTTATACACGATGTATTTATATACATGTGCTGTTTTAATCGTAATTATATATGCTATTTTGTCAATATTATGCAAACGCGTTAGAATCGCACAAAAATATTATTTAAAGGTATTTCGTGTATTTTTATATAAATAAAATACGAGTTGTATATAAGTATACGCAAATTTTAGTATACGATGTTAAATATATATATATATATATATATATATAAGAAATTATATACGAAATAAGTTTATAAATTATACGTTATGGAAAATAAACTGCAGTCCAATTCTTTTTTTTTACCATTATTATTAGCGATGTTCGCAAAGTAAATTTTATTATATATCAACAAGATAGAAAATTGTGCAATTCCCACAATGCGTTTACATAAATGACCAAATTTACATAAATTTACAATTACCATAATCAAGAATTTACATTAATTGCAACACACAATCAATTAATTGCAATACAAAACAATCGTTATACATACGCATTATTGCTACATAAGAGATGTGTATCGTTACGATAATGATGTTACATATAAATCATGGTCATAGTTTTCATTTGAATGATTTGAGTTCATTCGCGTAATCTTCGTGGACTTTCATCATTAACGGTGCTTATCAATAACGGTGTTTACAGATAGACGAAAATATTCTTCGAAAAGATGCTTTTCAACACGAGTATATAACGTTTACTATTGCCGATAAATCACGTCGATCTATTCGTTTTTTGATACAAACGTTACGGTTTAGCTGAGTTTCATGTAAATTCAAAATGTAACGCGAAGACAATGTTGACGTCACGAAATTAATTTATAAAAATGCCTAATAATCGAATGATTGAAGTGTCATTTCATCGGAGGACACTAGATTAAAACACCGTAAATTATATGTTCTGTATGGAATGCAGTGATCATATAAAAAATGATCGTTTTACTTCGTCGAAGTTTTACTTCATAATTGTTTGCGATATACGCACAATTTAATGTACGCGCACTTAAACGTGCTGATAAATTCCATTATCTTTCCTACGACGTTTTTTTTTATTCTGATACCGCAATTACCAAGACAAACAACAGTATAATAATACACTTTAATACTCAAGTCTGCGGGATAAAGTTAGGTTTGAAGTTATGTAGGCTGAGGAACAGTTATAAATGCAGCTGGGTTTAGTGGAAGTATTTATATAGGCAAGAAATGTTCGAGTATTTTATGAAGTTCAACGAACAAAAATGTCGACAGTAGGATATACTGTGCGAAAAATTTTCATGATAAAATCTTCACTAATTAAATCATTGGTTGACTCTTCAACGTTTTGGTGAGATCCATGCAATTTTTTGTCGCGGATTTTTAAATATTGACTGAACGAGAGTATTCTTTTACTCGACATTTATCTGATTTCGTTGCACGAGCAATAATGGGAATTAATCGCAAACTATATCACGTAAATGACAACTTAGATAAGATAAAATAATTAGAATACTGCATCTCGCTACTCTACTAGTACTCTCAGCGGCATCTGTACGTTCATTCGAAATGCATCTAGGGATGCGATATCTTTGTCGGTGTCGATATTACTCAAATCGAGCTTGGCGCCGAACACTCTGCATTACAAATTCGCAAAAAGGAACAAAACTCAACGATTAAGATGTTTACTCGCTAAAAAGTTGGAAACTTTGTAAAGCTACTTCATTTCCCCATTTCTCGCTGTAAAAATATAATCTCGAAAAATAACGATCAAATAAGTGAGCGAAGAATTAAAGTTTGTTGCGTAACATAAATCGAATCTTCTTCCCTCTACTTCAAATAACAATCAATTAAATCTATCTAGATCGAAAATGACCAAATATTTCCTTATGTAAGTTCCCTGAAATTTATTTTACATGTAAACTTCTAAACTCTATAAATAGTTTACAACTGTAAAGTTGTAATTCCGATATTAACAACACTGGGTGCGAATTTCTAATTAAGCATTTTTTTTTTATAGAACTGATCATTGTTGATTTTAAGGTTTACGATATCGTGAATGATATCGAGGTGGGGGGCGGTGACTCGTTGGTAGTTTTCCGCACCAGATAGCCCTACTATGATCGTGTTTGAGATGTAAACAGCTTGAGTGCATGCTTATATAAGGATGCCTGAAAATCATCTTACGTAGTAATAAAATCATCAACGAAAGAAAACTTCGTCAAGAACGCTGTATCGATTTACTAAACTCTCTCCGGCACAGCGTGTGATTACATTAGCTGTCTGTAACATTCCGCCGCACGTCACCCACCACCGACGAATCTATATTTCGTACGATATGCCACGAACATGTAAGTGTTTCAACTTGGCTACCCGTTACCGGTTAATCCGCTAGACCGAATTAATCGATCCGCAACTGCTGATAAGATACAACCGAGGCACTGATGCAACGCATCGTAAATGCTGTGATGTGAATCTGCGATGCGACAGAGTAGTCGTAGTTTCGATTTTGCAAGATATAAGTTGCTTGTACCTCGATTAAAGGCGATATATTAATTTACCATGAGGGGTCATATCAATGTGTGATATATATATATTTTATGATATATATTTTCTTCATATATTTTTTGACGTAAAAAACTAAGATTTTCTTCATATTATTAATATTATCCTATTCATATGTAATATGTTATTGATATGAAATAAATTTCACTTTGTATTACGTGATTTTAAACGTAACATTAATTACGTAACTTAAATATTATTTAATTATTAAAAACGTTCCACAAACGTTTAAAAACTAACTTAAATGTCATTTAATTATTTTCAGAAATTCTACAGAAATTTGGATTCTGTGAAAAAAAAACTCAACGTTATCAAGTCAACGTTACTTTTCATCGTGTTCATCGAACATAGAGATATTATTTATTATTTATCTCATAACATTATATCTATCTTATAAATCAAAAGATGACTGTCGGTCTGAAGACAATGAGTTTAATCAAATCGAGCCGCCGAGTTCGGAGAAGTTTAAATGTACGCAATGGTGAGTAATGTCCAGATTCCAATAAAGCTCTAATAGTTCAATGTTGACGAGTGATTTATAAATCACGTGTCTTCCATTGCATTATTGAGCAATGTGTGTAAAAAATATAAATCCATATTATCCTTCTTTAATTAATTATCGGTTTTCCATTTTCTTTATATTGTCCTCCGTCTTTTAACTTGATCTTTCACAATATTTCAATAAATAAGTATGTAAACTGTTCATAGAAAATTTATAGGAGTATTATGATAGAATAGAATTTCTAAATATTTCCTCATATTTTGTAGCATGATTTTTCAACTTACTCCTACGTTATTATACTATTGACTCTGTTCTGTGTTTTCCCACATTTTGTAATACCGTCAGTCTCTGCTTTCCACTTTGCATAATTATTGCCGTCCTTCCATACCTTTAATAACTCAATCAATGTAGGATATCACATTATTGCTTAAATCATTATTTTCTCCTTAGATTAGCTTAAGGTTAACGGTTAAAACTGTCGTCTCCCTTTTCAATTGTATAAAATATATAAAATAAGTGTAGGCCTCATTACCGATGCTGTTCCGTTGCCGATACAGGCGTCCTAGGTTACCGGCCAATATAGCCGCTTGCCCTACGAGAGGGCCATGCGATAAAAAAAAAAAAAAGAGACGAATAAATAAACAACGGTTGTTAGAGACACACAAACTGTCAATAGTGAAGAATAAAGTTTGATTTGTGTTAACATAAAAGTGGATTGTGAGTTTATATATTAAAGTGGGAGTCCTGCTGTTTGTGAAAAATAGGGCCATAAATAAGCATGAAGTAAAACATTGTCAATTAACTTCACTATCATATTATTGTAAGAACAAATCACGTAATTATTAATCGCCTCTAGAATAAAATAATAACGTAATCACAAAGAACGTAAGAGCAAATATCTTCTCGTCATTTAAACATTCTTTCGCTTATTTTTTTTTTTAACCAAGATGACAGAGGTGAAACTGCGGACGGCAATATTTCTTTTGTCACTCATAAAACATCCACGAATGTACAAGGTTCACCGTCGACATGTGTCGCTGTAACAAGGCTGACTTAGCGCTTTTTTTTCTTTTTTTTTTTTTTATTACATTGCGGTAGAAGTTACGTAGCTCCGACGAGCTCGGAGCTAATGTAAAGAAATCTAAATACGGAATAAGATCAGTCGAGAGATTGAAGGTGCGGTAGTGTGCATGTTTCTGATATTTCCTGTGAACGCACAATATAATTATGTTGTTATCTGCTGCGATATACATAGAAAAACAAAATATTTTCATCGTGCGGGATGATACGAAAAGAAGCGATAGATATGTAAAAAGACGTCATTGCTTGTGTGATTGTCGCCTGCGACCGTCAGATTAATGCACTTGTCGTGCAAAAATTATAAACTCGAGTCGCTTTATCGCGTTCATATCAGTGCTCTAGAGCTACAAATGCATCGCCGCGGCTAAATTGCATCGGAACGAACGAGAGCAGCTCGCGAGAGTTTAGTCAGGGATTCAGTCGTTCGTGTCGCGGAATAGGAAACTGTTGATATCTGTTTGCTGAGTGTCATATGATACTATTCGCGTAATTAACAAAGTTGTGTCGATTCTTCCTTTGTCATTTCTCTCTCTCTCTCTCTCCTTTTCTCTCTTGCATCATTGCATTGGATTGCTACTGTAATTTCTGCGGATTTTTTTTTTATTATAGAGTTGAAATACCATCTGTAATGTTTGTAAAGTTTTGTAAAACATAATTAATATTCAAAGATTTCAATATGTAAACAATGTAACGACAAGTCGAAATCTCAATGAAATATTACATATACGAAAGGAAGGATCTCAGTATAGCAAACTAATATACATAGTGCAGATTGAGATGGGTAATTTTTCTCTCTGTATTCGGCAGTGAGTGATCAACTTCTCGCAGATGGTGAGGTCAAGAAGACAAGAATATCGCTAAATATCAACACGAACATGTTGAAAATCGGTTTTCTCGGCGGAGGAAAAATGGCCCAAGCACTTGCAAAGGGTTTCATACGGGCAGGTAAATATCTTTTTCTTTTTTTTGAAATGTTTTAATAGTTTAAATTCGAACGACGAAGCTTCGCCGAAACGTTACTCGCATCTTTTCCTATTTATAATGGAATTGATGCGTAAATCGCTATTGTTTTGTAGGTTTAAGCAAGGGCGACATGATATTGGCGAGTTGTCTTCCTAACGATACGGGAAGCGTAGAAACATTTAAGGTGAGATAATAGTATCGTAAAATGTAAATCGTAATCGTACGACGCTTCTTTTGTTTATAAGGTTCGATAAGCGAATGCCATCTTTCAGATGATAGGATGTGATTATAGGATGCTACAATGAAGAATCGAAGAGTATTACGTTCAGTTTCTCATGACCGTGTAAATGATAATGTAAAAAGATATTCTTCGCGCACTGTGTGATTTTTTTCGTCGCAATATGTTTCTTGAATAGTCGTTTTCAAAGTCGATAGATAAACTTGATAAAAATACAATACAATGAGATGAAATCGGCGTTATTTTGCATGTTATTTTGCGTTTAACCATCGTGGCAATTCAATTAAAAGTATTATCGAAATTGATTAATGTTAAAAAAACTTATATGCAACATTTCCTGATTCTTTGTTTTTCGTTTGTTCGGTATACATTTACCTTCAATCGAATGGTTAATTTCTACTTCTGTGTTCATTAAACAACAGCGCGATAGTTCGGATATAATTTACATACAACATTGACCGCATACTTGTTGCATTCTTATCGATGATTATTTAGCATAGTCGTGCTTATAGTGAAATTTTCAAACGTCCGACACTCGTAAATTACCTGTGTAAGCAATAAGACGAATATTATGCTTAATTTCCTCATTAAACTATTCTCGACATACTTGCGCAAATAATACGGAGTCTTATAAATCTATGAAATATTCCTCTAAGCGCTTATCACAGGAAAGAACGCGTAAATAAGCCGATAGCTTATATATATTAAATCAAACTGACGTCGAAAAGACATTAAAATAACTAAAGCACTTAATCGAGATTTATATATATATATATATATATATATATATATTCGTTATACGAAAAAGTTATATCGGAAGAGTTCATGAGTAATGATCTCTACGAATGATATTCTATTTTCGCAGAGCAGACTTTAGCTTTCAGGCTGGAGATATTGTATCATAAATCAAACATGCCATTAAATGCCCGCATACAATCAATTGTGTATAAATGTTTCTAGGCAATGGGATCAAAATCCGTGTTCACTAATAATACCGTTATCGATTACGGAGATATCCTGATCCTCTCGGTAAAGCCGCAAGTTGTGCCGCAAGTTCTTCCAGAGTTAAAGAATAGTAAGAAATTACTCATCTCCATCGCCATGGGTATCCCCTTGGCATTGTTAGAGAAGGTACATACATTCAGTCATTAAGAAGAGAGATCTGTTAATGTCACGCGGCTCAATGTCGAAGTTGTTTATAAAGGAAAACGCACACAGTCAGAGAAAACTTTCATTTTAGGCACTTCCACAAGGAACACCTGTTATAAGAGTAATGCCGAATACACCGGCCTTGGTGGGCTGCGGCGCTACGGTATATACACGTGGGAAGCATGCCGGTGACAAGGAGGCCGAGATCGCGGAGAAGTTATTTTCCGCCGTAGGTTTCTGCGAAGAAATCCAGGAAAATCTCATTGATTCCGTCACCGGTTTGGCTGGCTCCGGTCCTGCCTATGTCAGTGAACGCCTTTCTGTTTACATCATCATAAAAATCTTACTTTCTGTGTAGAAGCACACGTAATCTATAAGGATTTTATAAAATCTCTAAATATGAATTTTATGAAACTTTTGTATAAAAAAAGAATTACCCGTTGAAAAAAATTGATAGAAAATCGTTAGCATGACGAAAACCGTTTCTTTTTCAGATATGCATGGTAATCGAAGCGTTGGCCGATGGTGGTGTAAAAATGGGCCTTGCCAGATCGACTGCATATAAGCTTGCTGCACAAACCGTTCTAGGTGCCGGTACCATGATTCGCGAGACGAATCTTCATCCGGGTCAACTTAAAGATGACGTATCTTCACCAGCAGGTCAGGATATTTTTAGAAATATAACTTTCACTTCCTTACAATTGGTATACGTTCTTCTTTTTCTCGTAGGAAGCACTATAAGCGCCATTCATTATTTGGAGCAACATGGCTTGAGATCAGCGCTAATCGGCGCTGTGGAAGCCGCAACGCTTCGGTGTAGACAAGTTACTGCGGAATTTGAAAAGAAATAAAAAAATCAAGGTAATAATGATGACAATAACGATCATAAAGTTAATGTTGTTACATAATAATCGCATTAATAACACAATAATGATGACAATAACGATCATAAAGGTAATGTTGTTACATGATAGTCGCATCATTAACACGAAGGACGATACGTAATGTAGATGATTGTAGATGTAGATCGTAAGATTGAAATAACGAAGGGTATTGTCGTATCCGGAGATGTAAATGATTCTCATTTTTACTAGTTATTGTTATTAATATTATTGCCAATTGTATGTATCAGATTTTCTTTTATTAATTTTTATAATGAAAACTGTTATGCACGCGATATAATTGTGATGTTAAAGAACAATAAAAAAAACGCAGATTTTATTTTAGTATATATATATATATATATATATATATACTGTTGTTATTGTACAACAGTATAATAATATAATAACAACAGTATAATAAAAACTAATAGTAACTAACAGTATAATAAAAAAAAATATATATATATATATTTTTTTTTTTTATTATACTGTTAGTATATATATAAAAAAAAATATATATATATATATATATTTTTTTATATATATATTTTATATATATATTTATATATATATATATACTGTTGTTATTGTACATACCGTGAGGAATGAAAGTTGACATTGTAATCAATATTTTATTATCTAATATAAATATTTCAAATGACCTTAAATATCTACAACTGTGTCACGTGTAACAAATTCATAAATATTATGTTAATAAATTAGTTTTAACTGAAATTGGATATAAACAATTTCGTTGTACAACTAGAGAATCACACGTTCTTATTCACTCATACTAATGTTCAACGGCACTTTCTTTTCTTTAGTTTGCATACGTTTAAATCCGAGATTAAATTCTGTTTTAAACATTTCTCTATAATAACTCTCTTTCACTATGTCACTTTCGGGCACACCTTCCTGTTTGCACTTGAAGACATAGCACTTGTGCATCGCAGCTATACTCAATCTCGAGTCCAAATATTGTTTACCAGAACGATCCTTAGGATCTGCTGATCTCTCCGTCGGGAAGGATCTGATATGTTCGCGCACTCGATCTTTCACTTCTTCGCTTTTCTTCGTTTTCGGCGTGTGTCTGCCCCTTTGGTCTGGTCCTATGATACCACCTGGCGACGTACGTTTCTTATCCATCACGTGTCGCACAAATTTTTCTGATACCGCGAATGTGCTGAGAAACATGGACTTGCACACGGTGATAAATTCTCCTTTCAACAGGAGAGAATAAGTGAATGTCACCTGCCGGCGATGCTCCGATTTGACATTGCCGCGGCAACGAGTACGCTGTTTCGGGGACTCTTTGACAGAGAGCGCAATATACTGTTTTCGTTGCTCCCATGTGCACGTTTTCCAAAAGACTTTGTGCAATTCCTCACGTTCATGCTCATTTATCTTGTCTGCACAGTGCATGCGACAATTACAGGGTAGTCCCATTGTCTTTGCTGGCACTATCTTACCTGGGTACAAAGGGTATAAGCATTATTGATTATTTACTTTACATGGTAAACTGTGTTTATTTATTTTACATCCATTTACCACCAACTCCAATATATTCCTCTCCTCTTAATCTAGCATTTTTCTTCACATTTACTTTCCAATTCTCAGGATGCTTTGAACGTTTTATAGGTTCCTTATGTTCTTTTGATAATTTTACCTTCTTTTGTCTACGTTTAAAGAATTTTTTTGCAGTTTCTTTTATAGGTACATCATTTAGTAGTAATGGGTCTTGAGATAAATCTGGTGATTGTGTATCCATAACACGTTCTACAAAAGACATTTGTTATTATCTGATCGTAACTAAAAATGATGAAAAATGATTAAAGTTGTCAATATCATTACTTACAGTATTATGTATTAAGAGACAGGATAAATTGATAAGAAAACAATTCTTATATATATTTAGAATATATTATATATATATATTTACAAATTCTTATATATATTTAGAAATAATACAAAATATGTATATACCTATTAATGGATAAGTTTCTACAAGTATTGTTTCAGGTTCTGATGTCAACCCTACACCCCCAGTAGATGTGTCCCTCCACCATTTTGTATTAGCTGACAATTCACTCAATTCACCTGTTGATACTAAACAAAATAAAAGGGTGATGGTAAATATATCTTGTGCGATAAGCGCAGTAAGAAGCTGATTATATAGATGATTTCAAGTTTACCCATGCTGTTATCAAATTTATAAAATACAGATGTATTTTGTGTTTGCTGCTGTTGGTTTATATCCTGACCCATCAACCATGATTCTTCTTTCTTTGTTTGTTCATTCGACAAATTTGTTATGTTCTGCTCCATTTTGCGCTGCTCGCATCCTCCGGCATTTACAAGCCATGCCGTGAAACTTCAACATTCATCTTAATATACCGCAATTAAACTTCGCCTCGCGTTTGCGGGATCAAACAATCCGTTCGTTATTGCATCGGCAATTATTGTAGAGGTTACGTTGCGTCTTGTTTGGGTAGAATTTTCCTTATTGATGAACGATTCGGGCATTCATCGTCGTGAAAATATCGCGCGTGTTCTTTGATATCAGATACATTCGATAAGCGAAACGTGTTCTGCTGTAGAGAAAACGTCTTGATCGCGACACAGCAATACGGCGCGAACATCATAGAACGTATATTCACGCAATATATGCCCGAATGAAAGTAACGTGCGGACGTGATGAAGTGCGACGCGCCTCGACATTCAAGAATAGATTATCACTGTCGTGTTTGCATTCTGCTCGATAGATGTCGTTACGAATATCTGAAATTGCACAAAATCTACCTAATTAACGAGATAAAACCAAAGTTTTATAGAATTTGCGTCCAAATATTTAATACGAACAAAGGTATAAGCTTGAATGATATAACTCGGAATTTATGAAAATTTTATAAACACAGACGAAACAATTTTGTCGGTTTCGTCAAATACTTTACAGTATCGAGCGCATCGATACACAAAAAATTGATCGATTGGTTACATTCGGAAAATATGCTGGTAATACTGACAGTATTGAGAATTCATGGTAACATGAATTATAGATTGTCAGCCATGTAGGCGCATTTCATGAGATATAGTCATTATTGCTCTTGGTGGATCTCAATCACTGCAATGCTCAGTTAAATTATGGAACGGTAGGTCTAATTCGTTAACCTATTTTCTTGGCGCGATCTCGGCTTACCGAAGAGCATGCGTGATTTATCGTCGCCGGGATCGTCATCGAACAATAATTCTGTATGTTTGTCATGACTGAACATTGTTAAATAGTCACCGAGAGCGAATATCTTGTGAAACGCGTTAAAGAGATTAACAAAATGTTACGTGGGCATTGTTTCAAATTGTTGCGTTTCCTACTGACCGAAGGAATCCCGAGAATTATCGTCGTCAGCAGTGCTAAAAGTAAGTTTGGTATATGACAAAATATCGTCAAATGGTCATCGAAAATACATATGTACATGGCGGAACGAGTTAAAGCTCGCCGAGTGAAGTTCGCGCGTATCGAAATGCTTCGAGTATCTATTAAGCGCAGCGACATTCAGTTACGAACCGGATCGCGACGTGCAGGTACGTATTCGAAAGACAGCTCCGTATTTTCCGTGATCTCGGCCCGCCGAAGATGAGTCTCGCGTTTGATATGTCATCTCCGGGAATGCCGGAAGTAAGCTCTGCGTGTGTATCATAATGAAATATCATTAAACAGCCGTCGAATATCTCGGTTCGTCGAGAGTGCCGAGTCGCGCGATCGTCACAAAATGGTGACTCCAACTCGTTGAGCTTCCGAAGTCTCGCAAGCGAGTTATAGTCGGCAGGAGTGTAAAATATCATGAGCCGAGAATAAATATATCACGGTTTATGAAGCATCGCGTTCGTTGTCTTATAGCGCAGAAATCCGGCGATTTAAACGAACGACATTTGTGTGTTATTCATAAATGAAAAAAGAAAGTCTGTAAAGAGGAGCCTTTGAGCGACGTTGTGCGATACCGGCGCGCAATCACGTACGCCACCGTGTGACCAACTGTCTTACTAGCGTGTATCTCTCAGAGGTCGCGAAGTGTCTGTGCGTGTTTTGACGTGACGCGTGATATGTGTGGACGACAAAGTGTAACGAGGCTGTCACGGCTATTTCACGGAGGTGATGCGATGTGACGACTTGCTTCCGAAGGACTACTCCATACCCGGTGACGAGCAGTTCGGAGACGACAGCGGGCACAGCGTCTCCGGTGAGTTACTTTTGAGGTTACCTGTTAATGTTCTGTACGAATAAGTGTAACGTGCTTTTCGTGTTAATGACCGTTTCTCTCGTCGTTGCCGTATTTTTTCGGGTTAATTTTATTAATTCGCGAGAATCATCGTGTTCTGCCTATCGAACATCAATCCGGCTACCCGTATTTATAACCTAACTTTCGCGATCAGGTGTATGCGCGCGCGCGTACGACGATGTGTCACAAAGTGGTTCTCTCGTACACAATCCGATCGGATCGATTCAGGATTTTAGAATAGATACTCCGGTGGATTCTCGCTTTGCTCTTGCGAAATTACTCGCGCGACGCTGGATAATTGGAACGTATCCGAACGTAATTGATGTTGTTGCACGCATAATTGACGACGCGTATAATGTATATGCAATGCAAAAAGAAACATATACCAAGTTGTCTAGTTCAATGCCGCGGTTATCCAATTACTCCGTAGGAACTCGAGGTTCGATTTATACACACTTACTCTTATTGCACGCACAGATATAGTCATTATTGGTGGATCTCAATCACTGCAATGCTCAGTTAAATTATGGAACGGTAGGTCTAATTCGTTAACCTATTTTCTTGGCGCGACTTTGGATCACACTTTGTAATGGTATCGCATTCATACTAGATTACATTGAATGGAACTCTTGTGTGATGCTTTTGTTGTACGATGTAAACAGAAAGGCCCGTTTAACCATTCTTTCTGAAGGTTAAATTTCACCTCAGACGTATAGCCTTCGATAGCTCAGTTGGTAGAGCGGTGGACTGTAGTCGGTGTATAGAGAGAGAAAGATATCCATAGGTCGCTGGTTCAAATCCGGCTCGAAGGAGTACTCTTTTTTTTTTATTCATATTACGTGCATCTTTACTTTGATTTTTTGTAAATACAAAATAGGATAATATGTTATATTGCTATCCACCAATATTATTTTATCAAAACCATGTTATTTATTTATTTAAAAGCCATTATTTTATAAAAAAATCTCTTTATTAAGAAAAATTTGATCTTTTACTAGGGGATTGTTAGGAAAATTTTATGTTAATCATTTTGTAAAGGAATTTCTTCAAAAAAGCTTATAAACAAGTTGTCATTTTATGTGCTTTTGTTCTTGCAAATATTCGTTTGTGTATAGAGTACGTCATGTTTCAACCATTATGATAGTATGTACATAGTGATATGGTATGGTGGTATAGAAAAAAATAATAGAATCATAATGAAGAACGCGTCTTTATACGGGGTTGTGATAATGTTATAAAAGTTCTTTTATTTTGTCAAAGGTAAATCTTTTTTTCAACGACATGAGTAAGAAGTTTGTCGATAAATAAAAACGTGTGGGATTTGCGACGTCATGTGTACTGTAAAAATACTCTAGACCTGTCGTCAGGGCAAATTTAGCAAAAAAAAAATTACGTTATTATCGGAATATCGCGTTTACCGATATAGGGGCGATATCGCGAGAGGACGGGTTGTCATAATCCAAACGAACGAGCTAAAAACGAATATGCGAATATTCGCAAGTAAAACGGATTAAAGGTCGAAAAATATCCATATTATCGGACATGTGTGGGAAGGATAGAGGGAGTGACCATAAGGCACAGTCGTAAACCGCGCGCTTGTGATATATCTATGGTAATTTATAGCCGCATCCTCTCTAATCGTCTTTTCCAGCCATAATTTATTACTACTCCATCCATATTTATTGGCGCATCGGCCACTGCATTGTACGCATCAGATTGGTTATATTGTTGGCGGCACCGATGCACACTGCAATAAATTATCCAGCGTGCGAAGGTGCGACGGCTGAGGTGCACTGATAGATTGCGGTGGAGAGGAGAAGCGATTTATTTAAACGGCGCGGTGCTTTATATGCGGTTTGTTGCAATTTTCGATATATATATATATTTGCGATATACAAACTGTCTCGTTCCGAGATAATAGATCTTCGCAAAAGCTGTGAAACGCGGAAAAAGCAACAAAAAATAAGGTCTTCGATTTCGTCTGTATATCTCCAGATTTCTCTCCTCGCCCTTTTTATATTTTTTTCTTCTTTCTTTTTTTTTTTTAACATCAGGTTCGTACGTGAAATCCATTAGCATAAAATGACGAGGAGGAGTGGATAGAGCGCTGATTAAGTAATTAATTTTATTAATGTTGAACGCAACTGCTATCAAAACATCGAATAGCGCCGATGACTTAAATTCCGGTGATTTTCGCTTCGTTTGCTTGATCTGGTTATATTCTGTGATATTCCTTTATTGACAGTTCATCGCAAATTAATCGCCGCGCTTGCAATGCGACTTGCATAGTATCAAAGCGCTTGTGACACGCGTGTATCTACGATATATGTGTATAAGCGCGCGTAATCATATACGCGAGCGATTTGGTTTATAACGGCCGTATGATGTGTTAGTATTTCGCATATTATATTATTAATGCAACTAGCATCTCGTATTTATTATCATAATTACACGAGTAATGTTTCGCATAGCTGATAATGCGGCGATCTGACATTTTATGATGTGATATGATAATCTTCATCGATATGAAAAAGCTTTCAATGCACATTAAATGTTTATTCGTGTGGTAAACCTCGATCGGTTCGTAATTTTGGCAATTTGACTTTCACATATTTCAAATTTCATCACGTAGCGATTCGCCGGCATATTGAGTACACTTATATCGACAGTATTGTTAAATATATATATATACGAACGCGTAACTTGTGAGGTCTCGGATAATAATTTTTACCGCGAATTGTGGAGCAGGCGAACGTTCATTATAGTTTCGAGCCAACGAAAAATATTATCAATGTAAATGCCTTCCAAAGGCATTATAACGACTACTTAATCCTCTTTGCTCTCGCGGCACGGAATTACAAAAAATACGGCGGGTTATGAAGCTAGTCGACTCGAGTCACATTTCTATTCCGGCCAAAGCGAATTAATTTTAAGGCGGCGGAAGAGGACAAACGCAATCGAGCGGCCGCGATGAATAATTAAAGAACCTCCGTCAAGGAACAGATACAATTAAATGCGAGCGCGGCAACCCTGCCTTCTTTGACGCGATAAAACAAAGGATTGAATTTGCGAGCGACGCTTCGCTCGTTCGTTCGATGCGCGGTATGCACGCACGAGATATTACGTTCCTGTTCAGTGGCGTAGCGCGTAATCGGCCGTTAAATTCGGCCCGGTGTCGAGTATGAACGATACACAAAACGATTCAATTAGCGCGTCCTGCTTCCGGCCGGCACAGTACGGCGCGTCACCGCGTGCGGCATCGATACACACACACACTCTCTCTCTCTCTCTCGTATTCCCCGCTTCCGGTCGTCCCGGTCGCCCAATTTCGAGCTCGCACAAAGGTACGTCACGAGTGTGTACGTGCGCATTGCGTGTGTGCGCCCATTTATTGTTATTCAAATGGCGAAAAGCTGCACCCGGAATAATTTGATCGGTGCGACCGAAATTCCGGTTCGCCAAATGTTTGACGGACGGATCCGCGCACACGTTAACGCGCGCCTGCAAGAATAGTCCAGCCGATGATGATCGGACGGACGGATGTTAACATGCGCCGCTCGCGCGCGGCATTGTCGCGGTGGGATTGCAGCGCGCTAATTAGCGGTCTGCGCGCGATTTTTTTTTCAGGCGATTATATGGGTAATGGCGAGTGTAATTGTTCGCTACGCTCTGAGTATCAATCTGTCCTTTGAGTTATCGAGCTTATTTTTTGGAGTTTGGGTTTTTTTTTTTCAAATATGAGGAAGACGGTATCTTCCAACTTTGAAATTAACTTTGTCAAGACGGAAGAATGTTCTAATAGCGAACAGCGGAATAGAAGACCGCGACTTTTTCTTCGTTTGGATTGTCGAAATAATAATAGGCCTTCTTTTCGATTCTTCTATTTTTTAATCGCACCGTCGCTCTCGAGTAGACTTCACCTGATTTCGCGACGACGTGATCATCGGTCAAAAGTATCATTTGTACGCGAATATCCGTAGTTTGGACTGCATCGTCGGCTACATGAATTATGGAGGTAACGACGACGAACGTGTGTAGTAGGAAATTCCCACGAGGCGGAAAGAGACGCGTATGTCGCCGAAATTCTGCGAGTTATATTATTAGTTCTCTGCATTGAAGGGCATGGTTTTCTCTTGTGGTCGCGTCTGTCCGATTATCTTACGCTGTTATATAGAATGATATGTAGGGAAAATGATATCATCCTTGTATAGTATATCATCTCCGTGCAAGCGCTGAAAATCGAAAGGAATCGTAGTTTGCTTCATTACTAACACGACAGATCGTTTATTACACTCGCGCAATATTTCCCTCTTATAGCATCATTATTATTCTATGTTCGGCAACACGGCTTGTCTTCATATTATTTAAATCTTGGTCCAATAATTTTAATGACATTCGGCAGATTATAATACCGTTGATCTTCAAGGAGACGTTTTTTTTTTTTTTTATTAAAGGATAATAGCTATGGGACATATTTATTTAATCGATCGTGTAGAGAGTTCTCGAGAATAATAATTTCAAACGCGAAACTACGTTTTATGGGGATCTATTCAAACGTATAAATAGAATAAAAGTAAATTGAATAAAAATTTGTAAATGATATAAAACATATTGTGTCGTCTAATTCATATTTCCAAAAATTGTATCATATTTCTGTAAGCGTATATCTGAATGAGGATGCACGGACGGACCTGTGGGTACGTCGAGTTACAATCTACATCGGGATTAACATATTATCTCTCGTCTCAAAGGGCTTTTCATGTCATTACGTAAGGCGGATCTGCAATAATAATGATCATTGTGCTTGAGGGGTTTTGCTGCGGGCTATACGCTCGTTCCTCCGTAATTTCGCCTTTGGTGCTGATGCATAATGTATGGATAATTTAATTTAATGTAATACCACAACGTAATGTCAGCAAACGCGGCGTATTACGAGGCGCGCCGTGCATTGGTAAACAGTG